ATAACTCTTGAGTTGTATAATGTTCTGAAAGCCGTCCGGCTGACCTTGGAAAGGTTTCGCTTGAAAAAAGGTCACCGAACGAGAGTGATGTTGTTCTCCGTCGCTCCTCTGATTGGCTGGAGGTGATGTGGGCGTGGCCGCTTGACCTCTGACCTTGAGCCGCGCCGCATTCGGGATGTGATTCTCAGGCCGATTATGTGATGCTAATCAGGTTTGACTCCCTCACAGTCGACATCAATTGAGTGTTTTGCTTTTTCTGCCCTTCACGAATCCCCCAGCACGCCTCCGGTAAAAAGACATAATGTTATCAGTTTGGTTCGTGCTGAGGCGCAGCGCTTCTCCATCTGTGTGTGTGTGTGTGTGCCAAAAGAGTCGCTGTTATTAGCCAACTGTCTGGAAGCAGTCACCCATCTATATGATTATAAGCAGCCATTGCTATGGTTACAGACACAGCCAGTGGTCAGTTACTATGGACACAGACACCGGCATAAAGCGGTCACTATGGTTACAGACCATCTCATTCAGGCTGAGAATGATGCGGATGCGTCTCGCACTGATATTGACTGAATCCAGACTTAAATCCTGCAGCATGTGTAGTCCGATTTACTGTGAATGTTTGACACGTCAGCGCTGCTGTTTTCTCAGATGTGCTGTTTCTGAGAAAGAGCCACAAACTACTGATTGTTGTTTGCTTTACAGACCATATAAAAGAGCATTTACAATCATTTTACTTGCATATTAAAATGCCTTTCTGAGTGCAACTGGAAAAAAAAGTGGGGGTGTGAATGCAGATCTGAATGCGAGATTGCAGTGGATTTTGCAGTGCTTGCAAAAGTGGATTTTGAAACGCTAGCGACACACTTTTGAGGAGGAACGACCAGAGCATCCCAAAGGTGATGCATTGTTCATCTATTTTTCAGCTAGTCCTTATTTGATGTTATTGCTGTAACCTTTACTTTAAATGTTAATCAGCATAAAATGATTGATGCATCACTGCAAAACAATGAATGCATGCACTGATTAATCAGTAAGACGTGCACGATGAATTTGGAAAGTAAATAGAATTAATTTTGATGTTGTAGGAAAGGAACGGGCAGCACAAGGAAAAGGTCCACATCTGTTTTATTCCAGCAGATGAACACAGACCATCGCGGCGAGGGACATTCTGCCCTCCTCAGCATCAGAGAAACACAAAGTGGTCACAGGGGTCTTCATCATCTTCATCATCACATGAACCCACCACACACACACACACACGGATGCACACAAACACAGATCGTCCTGTGAGAGATACGCTACCGTCGCTAAATGAAGGCACGGAAATCCAGTAAGGCAGATTTACAGCACTAGAACACTGGAGATGAGCTACGCTTTCATTGGTGCATCACTCGCATCCAGCTCCCATCTTTCTGCTGTTGTCATGGTGACACACCCTTCCTCTGTCACTCAAACAAACAAACAAACACGGAGGTGGCAGGATGTGTCACACTTTCAGACGTGACATTCAAAAATCTTCACTCTCAATGTCCTGCAGAGTCTCTGCAGTTTGTGTGCAGATGTTTTCATAGGCAGTAAGTGAAGAGAAACTGATTGCTAATATTTGCTAGAAAAACAGACACAGGTCTACAGAGATGTTAAGACTTCACAGCTTCACACTTCTCAAAAAACAGCAGGTTATTTTAGTCCGATTGGCCTCAAGAACCCAGACGACGGTAAACAGGAGAGCTAGGCCGGAAACGTAGGCTACTCAAGTATGTGAATGTTTGCCTGGTGCATTGCAAGCATGCAGTCCTCGTACTTCATTACTAAACGGGGTGGAAGCTAGACGGACATCATGAATGAAAGGGCCAAATTACCCTGTTTACATCCTGGCATTGTCTTGCACGTGTGCCATCTTGTTTCTTTTAGTTCAAGTCTTTCTCTACTCTTCCCTGAGATGCCCAGTGGCTAAATGGTGTGACATCATATTCCAAAAATCGACGTCTTTCTTAGTTTGATGTCGTAACAGCAGGCCATGCTTCACAGTGTGTGTCGTTTGGATGAATTCTCGCACCCTTTGGGGGCGTTCACACGGGACTCGTTCTTGTGATCCATTGCTGCTATGTTGTTGACCAGTGTATAGGATTGCAAAGGGGTGGAACATTTCTGTAAAACTTTCCAAAAGATCCCGGAAAGCTTCCAGAATTTCTGGAAAATTTCTGAAATTTTCCACCCCTTTGCAACCCTATTGGTATGTGCATGCATCAAATAGACTGTCTTTGGCCATTGCATCACCAAACCTATTTCTAAGAAGGTGTATCAAGTTAAAAATAGTCCCAAGTTAAAACGTTTTGCATCTCGAATGCATCCTGTGTGCATGCCCCCATACGGTGCAAAGGCTTTATATGATTCAGGGGGCTCTAGAATGAAGCCATGGACTGGGGGTCTGGCGTCTTTGGGAACGTGGTCTCAGGTAAGAGCGTATTCAAACGTCCCTTTTTCCAGGCCCTCCAGTCCGTCGCCCCAGCTGGAGGATGGCATGCTACTGTAGGGGTCCAGCAGGATCCGGAAACACCTGACGATCAACAGCCCGAGAAACACCAGCAACATCCCAACGAACGCAAACGCCGTCTTCTGCTCCAGACTCAGAGAATAGGCCATGAAGTCACTCCCGCTCATGGCAGTCAGGCTGTGGTTATAGTGAACGCTACACATGTTCCCAGGCGAGCCCCGTCATCCTGCATGCGTCGGTACGTTGGCGATCAGCGTGGATAGATGGACGCCTGTGAAGGTAGGAGATGCTCTATGGAATCAATCAGACAACAAGCACTTCATTAAATTACTGCAGAATTAGCTTGCATGAGAATAACGGGACAAACATTTTGAATAGACGTACACTCTGTGGAGCATGCAAACTTGCCTGGAGTCTTTAATCGGTGATGTGCATTAAAATATGGCCAGTGTTATGCAACAGACAGGATAGGTGTGAACGCAGGATACAGCGAATGAATGCACGGCGAATTGAATCACGAAGGGAGTCTTCTTCTCCATTGAATTGCATTCTTTTGATATTTTGTTTGAATTTCTAAAGGTTAGGGTTAGAGAGCCATCATGGTGAGTCATTAATGCAAATGCCCTCGCTTATATCTTCAAGTAAACAGGTGGGATGAAAGATGAAGCCTTGCGGTTTGTGCATGCAGCCCTTGACTCTTTATTAGTAACCAACAGCATGCGCCGGTAGGTGATACGATTTCTCAGCAGCACAGAGTTGCAGTAAAGCGAAGACAAATGCACTCCCTGCAGCAAACATTTGTACTTGAGGAGTCTCAGGAGCCATCTCTTTTGCAGAGTCAGAGATCACAGCACATAGGCGACATCTTTAATCGGAGCGTGCACTTGAGTCAGCGCATGCAGCGAACACACCAGGACCTGTTGCTTTCTTTCCAGCTGCGACTCGAGCGGTGATGCATGCTGCATGCAGCGGGGGACTGTTTGAGAGAGGCGGGTGGGTGTGGATGAGCAGCAGGTGGCTGAAGAACGACATGCATCTGAGCTGAAATCAAAATGCATCTCACCTTCATTTTGGCCTCATTCTGTCAGAGCTGTTGTAGGCGGTCAGTCTGCTATTCCTGCGCATGCTGTCGTACCCCTCATCACTGCAGAAGAGCTGGTCGAGCCCTGCACACAGCCAGCAGGAGCTCCACAAGCTCGGCTTGACTGCTGCTGATAAAAGAGGCTGATGGAGTGAGAGACACCTGCGACTGAATGCTTTCACAGCCCTGCTGCGCTTTCTGAGCTGCTCTGTGTGTCCCTGCAAACACACTGTCTCTCTCTCTCTCTGCTCCTCAGCTTGGCAACCACTTGTTAGTCTCAGCTGGTTTGACTCTAATTTTGTTCTCATGCATGTACTCTTGTGCTCACCTGTTCTTGTTTATTTGTCTTCCCCTGAAATGTGACGTTCCCAGCAGGCTGTTCTGCCTCGAGACGTTGCTGTGGATTAGGTGGGCTGGTGCATCAGTTTCATCAGCATGTAACTCAATTAGACATTATGCTTAAAGCATATGCATGATGCTCCAGCATAACTGATGCGGCTCAGCATGCTTTTAAAGGCACAGCGACGCCTTTAACCCAACGTGCCACCAATTCAATATCAAAATACAACTTCTTTATGTTATGATGAGCATATGAGTGCTGCGCAAGGGTGGTTGCTAGGGGGTTGCTAGGGAGTAGTGGGTGGAGATTCTAAAAGAATCTTTGATGCAAAGGTGATATAATACAAGGTATAGTGTTATAAATGTACATTCATTTAAAAAAAAAAAAAATCAAAATATAAAATGTTACGATGTGTTGAAATGCATCATCACAGTCTTGTGAAAAGGGTCCATTCATTGCCAAAAAATGGCCTCTAACCCCATTACACACAGAGAACAAAATAAAAAACATATTACGACATGACATGTTTTTTTTATTGTTTTGGAATTGCTGGAGGTACAATATTGTCCAGAGAAGTATACTTACAACATTTCAGCAAAAATGCGCTTAACTCCGTGAAAATTCCATGTTATCAAAACAATAATTTTTAATTGAATGCCTAAATGTCAGCGGAAACGTACAGCTACAGACCACTAAATAACAAAAATGTTACAAATATTACACGGTGAAATATTTTTCATTATTTTGGAGTTGCTGGAGATGCAACATTGTCCAGATAAGTATAATAATATTTCAGCAAAAATGCGTTTAAGACTGAAAATCGCTATCAAATCAATACTTTTCATTAAATGCACAAATGTCAGCGGAAACATACAGTTACACAAAATAACAAAAATGTTACAAATAATACACGATGAAATATTTCCTATTGTTTTGGAGTCACTGGAGATACAATAGTGTCCAGATAAGTAGGCTATAATAACAATCCAGAAAAAATGCGCTTAACCAAAGACTAAATAGACTTTGGCTTAACACATTAAACATCGTTTGTTATGAAAAACAATCCAGTGACGCACTGTAGTCTCGCGTTTTCTCGCGATAGCTGCGTGAGAGGAGCAACAGTGATGGCGGACGCGGAGCTGACGCTGGACCTCACTGACACCAAACATGAAGAAACAGGCGATTCTCCCAATGACGAGGGAGAAGCGGAGCCCCAGCAGACGCAGGAGAACACCAACGGCGTTAAAACGTAATTGAAAGCCCTTTAAAACACAAATCTTGCATGTGTCGCGTGACTCGCGTCTATTACGCGCGTATTGTTAGCGAGGCCTGTGCGCGAGCGGAGCGCGTTGACAGAACAAAAGAAACGCGTTTATTTTTCTTTCTCTTCAGTTTGTGTTCCTAATGCGTATAACGTTATCTGAAGACATCTCCTCTAGTTCTCCGTTCCTCTCAGCGCGTATTTTTCTGTCGTTCGTTAGGTAACCCATAGCAACCGCGCCATCATCTGCCATTGATCAACAGACCCCGCCCACTTCTGCCGCGTTTAGTTTTCGTTAAAGATTAATAAACGAGTGAACCAAACCGACCCGATGGATCTTATCATTACAAACTCTAAATTGAAGCACATAAGTATCTGGAAATGGGACAAAGGTGCATACGCGGTACTTCATATGAGTGGGCGGAGCTAGTTTGGTTTGAGTTTTTTAATTGGTGGAGATTTCTCTGCTGAATCATGGGAAATGTAGTTTCTCAACAGGAATTCCGCCGTTAAACATGATTTAAAAATGAGTTGAAAAAACGGCTATCGATTAATAATAAACCCAGAGCTCACAGTAGGTCTGTTTTTAGCGGGTTTTATTTTACTTAGTGAATCAGTTCCTTATGAAGAAAGTGAATGGCTTTCATCAATCTGACTTGTGATCTATTTTCATCTTTAGAAAAGCGCTGCTTATAAAGAAAAAGTTTATATTTGTGGTGTTTAACATATTTTTTATTTTAAAAAAAAGTACTTGTTGTGGTTCATAAAAATATTCTTATAAAGAAAATTGTTTATACTTGTAGTGTTCTGTTTTTAAAAATGTATAAAAAAATTATACTGATTTAAAAAATATATAAAGAATGTTTATACTTGCATCATATTTGTCAACACTCAACTGTATGAAATATAAGAGTATGTGCAGGTCTGGGACCAGTGCGTTAACTGCGTTAAAATATTTTAATCGCGTTATTTTTTCATAACTAATTAATGAAGTTGACGTGTTAAACTGACAGCCCTTGTATATATATATATGCTTTATATATATACACTATCGGTCAAAAGTTTGGGATCAGAACGATTTTTAATGTTTTTACAGGAGTGTCTTCTGCTCATCAAGGCTGCATTTATTTGATCAAACATACAGGAAAAAATTTAATATTGTGAAATATTATTATGATGCAAAATAGCGTTTTTCTATCTGAATATCTGTTAAACTGTAATGTATTTCTGTGATGCGCAGCTGTATTTTCAGCATCATTACTCCAGTCTTCAGTGTCACATGATCTTCAGAAATCATAATAATATGCTGATTTATTATCAGTTGTGCTGCTTCATATTTTTTTGGAAGCTGTGATAGTTTTTTCAGGATTCTTTGATGAATAAAAAGTTAAAAAGAAGAGCATTATTTAAAATATAAATCTTTTCTAACAATATACACTAGCGTTCAAAAGTTTGGGGTCAGTACATTTTTATTCTTTCTTGTTTTGAAAGAAATTAAAACTTTTATTCAGCGAGGATGTGTTAAGTTGTTAAGAAGTGATAGCAAAGATTTATATTGTTAGAAAATATTTATATTTTGAATAAATGCTGTTCTTTTTAACTTTTTATTCATCAAAGAATCCTGAAAAATGTATCACAGTTACAGAAATAAATTATATTTTAAAGGATATTAAAATAGAAACCATTATTTTATATCGTAATCTCGCAAAATGTTATTACGATATAAAATAATGGTTTCTATTTTAATATCCTTTAAAATATAATTTATTTCTGTGATGAAAAGCTGAATTTCCATCATCATTACTCCAGTCTTCAGTGTCACATGATCTTCAGAAATCATAATAATATGCTGATTTATTATCAGTTGTGCTGCTTCATATTTTTTTGGAAGCTGTGATAGTTTTTTCAGGATTCTTTGATGAATAAAAAGTTAAAAAGAAGAGCATTATTTAAAATATAAATCTTTTCTAACAATATACACTAGCGTTCAAAAGTTTGGGGTCAGTACATTTTTATTCTTTCTTGTTTTGAAAGAAATTAAAACTTTTATTCAGCGAGGATGTGTTAAGTTGTTAAGAAGTGATAGCAAAGATTTATATTGTTAGAAAAGATTTATATTTTAAATAATGCTCTTCTTTTTAACTTTTTATTCATCAAAGAATCCTGAAAAAACTATCACAGCTTCCAAAAAAATATGAAGCAGCACAACTGATAATAAATCAGCATATTAGAATGATTTCTTAAGGATCATGTGACACTTTATACTGGAGTAATGGCTGATGGAAATTCAGCTTTGCATCACAGAAATAAATTATATTTTAAAGGATATTAAAATAGAAACCATTATTTTATATCGTAATAACATTTTGCGAGATTACTGTTTTTTTCTGTATTTTGGATCAAATAAATGCAGCCGTGATGAGCAGAAGAGACTTCTTTAAACACATTACAAGTCTTGCTGATCCCAAACTTTTGACCGGTAGTGTATATGTTTTTTCTTTTTTTTTTTCAATTATTAAATTGTTGGCAGAACCAATATATTTTAGTTGTTTTGTTTTGTTTTGTTGGATGTGTGGAATGGAGAACAAGTATTACAGGTCAAATAATTTCGGCCAAAGTAAAAAAAAAAAAAAGTACAAATCAGTTATAAAGCAGTTGTTTAGAATTGGAGAACAAACTCAGACATATTTCACCTTTAAATGTGCTGCTCTGATGCATTTTAGAGCGTTGTTGCTAAAGTAGGTTTTTTTGTTGTGTGTGTGTGTGTAATTTTCTCTCTCTCGTGTGTGTGTGTTTGTGTGTGTGTATATCTGTGTTTGTGTGTGTTTGTTTGTGTGTGTGTATATCTGTGTTTGTGTGTGTGTGTGTGTGTGTGTGTGTGTGTGTGTGTGTTTGCAGCGACGCCGAGGACAAAGAGCCCAAAGAGAAGAGCCAAAAGTCGCACCGCTACCATCCCTACAAAGAGTGCCGCAGCGGCTCGGCGGACCAGAAGGCCTCCCAGAGGAACCGCGTGTTCATTAGCAATATCCCTTATGATATGAAGTGGCAGGCAATTAAAGATCTAATGCGTGAGAAAGGTAACCCACGCTGTGTCCCGTCCCTCTCTCAGCTTTAGCTCGTATCCGTCTCGATCTAGACGAGCGTGCAGCATGAATGTCAGACAGGGGAGTTGAATCTGTTCTGGTGTGAATCTATATTGTGTATATATATGGTGGTATTTGCTGTAGTCATCATGATGAGTCATCACTGTAGTGTTGAAGGATTGTACAGGTGGGTGGCCTAGTGATTTTTCTACCTGTGTGTGTACAGTATCTGTAGCATCTTGCATAGAGGAATGAATGTAGCGCTAGGTGTCAGTCGAGGTGCTTTTCGAGGAGCGGGTCTCAGGTGTGTGTGTGTGTATGTGTGTGTTTCACTGGGCTTTTCTAGCGTTGCACCCAAGGAGACCAGACCCCTGGTGATTTAAATGCCTTGTTCTCTGTGGTATTTTCCCTTTGTATGTCTCATGTAGTTGGTGAGGTTACATACGTGGAACTCTTTAAGGATGGAGAAGGAAAGTCAAGGGTAAGTGTTGGTGACTCTGTGAGGTTTGCAAGGCCTCCGCAGCATCTCTCTCATGTGCTCAGGGCCGGTAGAGCTGATATACTGTCGTAGCTTTGACCTCGGGACGGTGTGTTGATGTGGAGCGCTACAGAAAAAGCCTATTAAGATGATTATTCGGATGTCTTTTAAATGGGTGGTGACCCGTTTGGCTGGGGTCCATCTGTCTCTCTCACATCTGATGATTGCTTAGGTGTTTTTGATTTGGATTTAACCGACCTACGAGAGTCATGTCTCTGTCAGGTGTCTTTCCTTAAACCCCTTCATCCATCCATCTATCTGTCTGTTCCCTTCTCTCTGTCTCTCCGTCCCGTAACAACAAGATCCAGCTTCATTTGCCCCAGAGTTCATTTGCTTTCCTTCTCACTGTAGCCAAATGCAAAGCTCCAAACAGCTCGTCAGAGTCTTAGAGTCATGTGCTGTAATCGATCTCTCTGAGGCACTAATGATCAATCAATCAGCTGTTTCTCTTTGTGCTGAAGTGATTCTGATGAGGCTCTTTCTTGTCGTTCTCTCGTCTCGTCCTCGTTCTTCTGGGATGCGCTCCTGCAGGGCTGCGGGTAAGAACGATATGCTTAAACCTGATTCATTTATACAGCAAAAACTGAGCATGTTTTCACTGTCGCTTGTATCAAGGATTCAAGTAAAAACATTTAAAAAGGTCATCAGTTGTGAAATAAAGATACTTAAATTTGTGTTATAAGCAATTATTATTTAGATTATTCCAAAAGTAATCAACTTTACAGTATTAAGGTATTACGCTTTCAATGCTTGGAAAAAAATATATAAATAATGGTCATAAAAATTTATTAATAATAAAGTAATATTTACGTAAAGTAAATATGAATTAAATCAATGCAATGCAATGAAATATTGCCTTCAAGTATTTCTTCAAGAGTCTTGTCAGAAATGTCAAGTATTCAAGTAGAAATGTTAATTATTTATATATTTCCCAAACATGAAAAATATACAGTAAGAAATTATTATTATTTATATTTTTCAAGCATTGAAAAAAGGAATCAACTATTTTAAATATTAATTTATACAAATATACAAGTAAATATTAATAAATTAAAACAATGCAATGTTGTCTTCAAGTATTCAAGTACAAATAATAATAATTATTATTATTCATATTTTTCATTCGAAAGGTAATCATCTGTGAAATAAAATGTCTTAATTTTTTATAAGCAATAATACATTAGTTTTGTTTGTTATATTTTTCCAAGCAATGGGAAAAAATTAATAAACTATTTTAAATATTTATTTAAATAAAGTATATATGAATAAATTAAAACAATGGAATGATGTCTTCAGGTGTCTTGACAGCAGTGTCAAGTATAAGTACAGATGATAATAATAATAATAATATTTATTATTATTACTTTTTCCCTAACATTTAAAAAAAAAGTAATCAATTGTCAAAAAAAGGCACTTAAATGTTTTATAAGCAGCAAGAAATCATTATTTATATTTTTTCCGAGAATCGAACAAAATAAAATATTAATTTAAATAAAGCAATATTTGAAACCTAAGTCAATATAAATAAATGAAAACAATATTTCTTCAGTTATGTGGTGGCAGTAACAAGTATTTATGTAGAAACTATTATTGTTTATATTTTTCCAAGCGTTAAAAAAAGTACTGAAGTGTAAAATAAAGCTACTTAAGTTGCTTTCTATTAAAAGCAGCACAGATTTACTGTTGACTGGTGTGTGTTTTTTCAGCGTGGTTGAGTTCAGAGATGAAGAGTTCGTGAAGAAAGCCATCGAGGTCATGAGCAAACACGATCTGAACGGACGGCCGCTGAACATTAAGGAGGTGAACACAGCATTCTGCCTGTTCTGTTGGGATACCGATACGATACGATACGATACTTCTAAACTGATCTTTAAATTATGAAATGTATTAAATTATTAAATACTAAGAGTAAAATGGGTAATGATACCCAAGTATATTTATTTTTTAAATGCATTTTAATTAGGCCTGGGTGATAAAACGGTATCTATTTATCGACGGTACACCTTCTTCGATATCGATAGAAAAAAATTTCAATATAGCGCAGGATATAGACACGTGCTATGAGTGACGCAGACAGCACACTTCAATTTGTAAGATGTCAGAATGTTGTGTTGCTGTTTTGTGTTTTGATATGTTTAAAAATTTTATGCTGCACCAATAATTGCCCTTTGGGCTTAAAGGGGTCATAGGATGCTACATGCACTTTTAGAAGTTGTTTGAACTGAAATGTGTGTTGGCAGTATGTGTACACAACCAGCCTATAATGATAAAAATCCACCCAGTGTTTTTTTTTTTATCTGGTTAAGTGTTTTCCCCCTTTCTCAAATTGAGCCGATCTCAGATGCCTGTCTATGTGACGTCACACAGACAGGCCCCTCCCACGATAGTTTGATTGACAGTAGCGTTTCAGCACAGCTGGACTGGCGTCTTACCTTAGCTCCGCCCTGAGTGAGCTGTCATCAGTCCGCCATTGTTTTACCGCCAGAGCAGATGTAGACAAGAATGACTCCTGAACGATTGAGGTGTTTTGTTGTTGGATGTAATAATGAACATAGCAGTCGTCATTTACTCCCGACATCTGAGCCGCTGAAGACGCAGTGGATTACATTGTTTCTGAAGGGAATGCGCCCCTGATCTACATCAGAACGCATATTCAGCGCATTTTTTAGACGGACAAATATGACTGCTGCACTCGCGTCTCACAGAAGAGATGTATAGAAAGCCATGCAAAGTTAAAACAGTTTAAACATTTAGAAAACACGTCATGAATTTATGGAGGTTTATTCCTTTCCACTGCGTCTCGTATGTTTTTAAATGCAGTCTGTGTGATCGGTGCTTCGGCTCTTTGGATTAAGCAATGCATAAAATATAAAACATTAGAAATTAGATATTTGTTTAATTTTTATTGTGTTTGATTGTTAAAACAAAAAATATTTGTTGTTTGTCTCAATAAATTGTGTTAATTATAAATACAGTGGTTAAATAAAAAAAAAAATTCTATTGCTTTTTGTTTAAAAAAAAACGTTATAAAAATGTCAATAATTATCGATACCGAGCGATATGAAACATTATATCGTTGATAAAGTTTTTTAGTTATATCACCCACCCCTAATTTTTAATGTAAAAAAATCTTGTGTGATATAACTTGTGTGTTTGTTTGTTTGCTGGTTTTTATTGTATTTGTTATACTTGTATTTTTATTAATTGTTTTTGCCATGAAAATAGCCTTTGATGCTGACATGGCATTAAATAAATATATACTATACTTGAAATGCATTTTAACATTCAATACGCCTTAATTGCAACTAATTAGGTTATATTTTTGTTTACACGTGGTTAATATATGTTTACTGTAGTGGTAACCATGGAAATCTACAAATACTAGAGTTAACCTACAGTCACTTTAGTAAAATCATGGTTCATGGTTTCATTAGGGGCTGCCAGTGACAGGCTGTTGCACGCATAAAATACAACCTTTTTATTCTGACAGTGTATGGTTTATATTAACATTACAAAATAGAACATGACCAATATGAACTTTTAACGTTCAGTATTTAAGTAATTGTAATTGCACAACCTATGTAGGCTACAATTTCAGTTTGTTTACTGTGAAATAACTCAAACACACAGACGTTTTTTCTGTCCTCTGCTAAGCATTGTTCTGGGCTGCCGTTCCCAAAAACATCAATGCTTTCTTCTGAAGCGCAGCCCTGTTTGAATGCACGGTCTCTCTGTGATTGATTGGTTCTGTCTTGCAGCATTTGCGTCTGTCGTACAATTATTTGCTAATGTAGGTTATTCATCCAATCCAATGCATATTGTACACATCACGATACAAACAAAGATGCTACACACTTTGCACGAACAGTTGTTTTTGATTTGAATTCGATTGTATAGTTTCAGGATTTAAAGCAAAAACTTTTTCTACTTTTTCTTAATCACTGTCCCAGTAGCTCTTGAAAATAACAGAAAAATACAGTACAAAGAATGGAGAGATGTAATGCATCTTTTGTACTTATTTTACTGTTACTTTCAGGATCTACTGGGACAGTGATAAAGATCTACCAGTCAATCGCGATTGATGGGTTGGTGACCACTGCTTTAGATACTCGCATCAGGATCGATATTTCAGGATGGATACACCCATCCCTGCTGTTCTGTCCAGTGTGTGTTTGTGCAGACGGTTCCTGACGCGGGTCTGTTTCAGGATCCGGACGGAGAGCATGCACGGCGCGTCCTGCAGAGATCGGACCGGATGTACGGAGCGGGCCGAGGGCAAGACACAGCTCCAGCCGGGATAAACATCCCTCCCTCCATCGCCAACAACCCCAACATCCCTCCGGAGATCATCAGCGCGCTGCAGGCCGGACGGCTCGGCACCACCGTGTTCGTGGCCAACGTGAGTCTGAACGTGTCTCTGCGGTTCATTATTGACTGATAGAGAAGGGTTTATGCTGGCCTTGAAAAGTCTTACATTTACAAAATAAGGCCGATAAGGCCGAGATACACCGAATGTTTGGCAACCGAAATTATTCAGCCGAACACTAGGGCTGTCAAAATGGTTGAAAAACTAAATTCGAATTTTGTACTCAAATATTCAAATTATATTTGAATTTAAAAGGCATAATTTCAGTTATGGGGGAAAGAAGCCTTTGTCTTCTCTCCTGAGGCCACAAGAGGGCGCATCGAGCAAACTATTACTAATGCACGTTTCTTCACAGCATAATAAAATAACACGACTATCTTTGAAAAAAGTGCATAATGTTTAAATGTTTATAAACCATATATAATTAATTAATTTGCTTAAACAATTCGAAACAAAACAGCATCATGTATGTATGTATAGTTTAATACAAAGGACCGAAAACCAATCACAAAGAGTACTTTCTTCATTTAAAACATGAGATGCAGTGGGATGGATGGGGAAAAACCGCCATCAAGTCTCGAGACGTGTTTTATAAAAGTTGAACTTGCATTATTTTTACATGGCTTTCTAAACATGTGGCTCTTGTGCGAGACACGAGTGCAGTGCTGATAGATGTCCCTCTAGAAAATGCAATAAATATGTGTTCTGTGTGAACAACTTGGTTTCAGTTTTGATGTAAACAGCATCTTCTCTGCATTGATTTTCTCTTTTTGCAGCGCCGCATCTAGTGGCTTCAACTGGATAGACTAACAAAAACATTAAAATGCAACGACACTTACATCGTCATTGTATCTCGTTTGGTTGATAAGGCTGCCTGACGCACACCTAAAATTCGAATTCAACGTTTTTGCATTCGAATGTGGATTTTTATTTTAAATTCGACGAAAATTCGAAATTTTTTAAAATTAGGGTTAGGGTTCATAAAAACCCTTTTTATGAATTTCTACAAGGCATGTGGCAATGCGATACGTGCGACAAACATCTTCCCAAAATCGTAATGAGACTCATTTATAAATCTGCTGTTGTCAACAAAAAGCACTGAGATCTTCCTGCGGGTTTCCGACAAAATAAAAACCCCATTAACATTCATAAATGTTATTATTGTAATTTTACTGTTGTTCACACATAGTGTTCAGACTTGGATCGGTTATATTTTCTAATGTTTCAAAAGTCTCTTCTGCTCAGCAAGGCTGCTTTTATTTGTACAATAAAAAATACATGCCTGATTCAAGAAGGGGGTCTCAAAAATGTCCAAAAAATATTATTTTGCCAACTTATTAATTTTAAGTTAAATTGTGCTTTGTTGGTATAATGTCTGCTAGAATGTTCAAAAAAATTTAATTGTTAAGTAAATATTTTTAAATTGTTGTTTTGTAATTGATTTTTTATTTGAAACGCAAGACAGTAAAAAGCACATTTCTGGGAACGCGGAAAACCATGTTCGGTATTCGGCCCAGTGTTTCATTTCGTTCGGCTTCGGCCTAGAATTTTCATTTCGGTGCATCTCTACTAAAAAGCTCTTAAATCAGAGCAGAATGTCGTGGCATTAAATGTTGCATGCACTGCATAAATCTAATCTCTTCCTCAGTATGTTTGTCTTGTTTTCCAGTTCAAATATCTAAACATCCTTAAATCAAGATACATTTACTGGAGATGCAAAATGAACATGAAGTCTTGTTTTCTGAGAAATTGAACAAAATTAATCAAGTTTATGTTTAAAACAAGAACAAATAATCTGTCAGTGGGGGATAAAAAATAATTTTTTGTTTGACTTGTTGATTTTTCTGTGCCTTTTGGCAGGTATTTGTTCTTGTTTTAATCATAAACCCACTTAATTTTGATAAATTTTTCAGAAAACAAGATTTCTTATTTAATGTCCTTGTGTTTCTCCAGTAAATGGATCATGATGTAAGAATCTTTATACATTTGTACTGGATAACAAGACAAAAATACTGAGGAAGAACAGCAGTTTTTTGCAGTGTGATCAGAAGGTACAGTAAAAGTTACTTCCATATTTTAGTGGTTTGGAGCAGAGATATTCATTTTTTTTTTTCGTAAAATGAATAAGTAATGGCAACCTATTGGAAGCTGTATTTTCAAACTGTGAAGTGTAGCTAATACAAGAGATTTACATTTAGAGAACATATTGGCATATTGTAATCCATTCAGTTTATTTCCTTAAATTTATTCATTCTTTTCTTTGCTTGGTTTCGAAAAAGGTTTTAAAAAGTCTTAAATTTACCTTCATAAAGCCTTCAGAAACCCTGATAGAGTCAGTCATCAATATGATATGCTGTCATCTTCAGCACACGTTCATTATGCTTCATCTTTATCTTATGATTCACACAGTGTCGGGGGTAATGCATTACAAGTAACGTGAGTTACGTAATCAGATTACTTTTTTAAAGTAACTAGTAAAGTAACACATTCCTTTTTAATTTAGAAGGAAATATCTGAGTTACTTTTTCAAATAAGTAACAGCAGTTACTTTGTTTCCATGTATTGAGTGACAGCTCTGGTGTTGCCATGGTGACAGAAATCAGGAGTAAGTGCAGAGCGTTGTGATCTTACTGTAGTTCTAGACTAAATATGAACATGTGTTTACTCATCTCACCTGCACACAAACACATTCATTATTCCTCAAAATTCCTCAAAAAAAAGTCAAATGCAAACTCAGAATATTATACAAACCCGCAATGATTAAATGTTAAATAATGTATTTAATCCCATTTTATTAACTGTTTTTGCACCTGACCTTCAATGATCCAATTTAACCATACTAAGCAAAAATGACACATTTGTGTTTAATTTTTGTTATTGCTGAATAGTGTTGAACTTTCTTATCCTGCGTCATATTCTTCATGTGATTAGTTTGAGCGGCGCCCTCTACTGTACAGA